AAAAAAAAAAAAAAAAAAACATTTGTCCGCATGTTAACGGTGAAATATTTGACGTGTGCGTTGAATGGGAGTACTATGTGCTGGTTAATAATTTAAACTCTTGAGTGTTTATATTTAAACTGCGTTTTGATGCACATATGAACTCTCAGTGTCCACACTGGCATACAGTCTCACTCGACAAGTGACCAAAATGACATTACACTACAGCTGTTAGTGTAGACTAGAGGAAGGTTTCGGGCAGACTGGATCCTGCAGCTGTAGAGGAGATGCGGTCTTGTGTCATGTTATGATTACAGTATTGGTGACACTTTAATGTTATTTAACCGTCAACCGTCTAGTGGAGACATTGGACATCTGTACACCTGTTGCAGTTTTATCTGTATTTGTGATGTTTGGTTTAATCTGATAATATTTAAAGGTGTAAACAGGGAATAAGTCAAAAAAGACTAATAGATTAATATCACTGGTCTGGAGAATGGCAAACTGGTGAAATAGCTTATAGTGATTGACATTTATACCTTCATTTGGACCTGTTTGAATTTACGCAGGGCTTTTTTTTTTTCATTTTCTAGAAATGTATAAGTTAATCACAATCAGTGGTGGAAAGAGTACTGAAAAAATATACTTAGGTAAAAGTACCATTACCTTCCAAAAAATGTAGTGTGAGTAGAGTAAAAGTACTTGTCCAAAAACTACTTGAGTAAGAGTAAAAGAGTAGCCTATTTAAAAGTACTCATGAGTATTGAGTAGTGAGTACTGCTGTGGATTCTACCCCCTCATAATAAACGCTGTACACCGCAATTTATACATTTTAAAAACGTTGTACATTCTGTAATTCACATTATCTTGTTTGTCATAAAGAATGAAGAGTATCTATCATCCAGCAGTTTTTTAATTTTGACTGCCAACTCTTTAAAATACATCAAAACAGCACGGAAACAGTATTCAGTTGAAGAAAAGATTAAAGTTATTCTCAGTACATTCATCCCCATTTAAATCATCAAGTTTGAAAAAATAGATTTAAAATCATGTGTAAGGCCACTGAGACAGCATGCTGTTGTTGCACTGTATTTAGAACAGTGCAAATACAAACACCATTAGAAACTCATAGTTCAGCATCACACACCATGATATGGGTTAAAATGAGAGCCCATTTCTCTCCAAAACGGTGCCAGTTTTAGTGTTTTGCCAATAAAGAAAAAAGAATAACTAAACTTGATAATTTGTTACAATTTTAACAAATGCACATTGTTCTAGAAGGATGGCATCATGCCATACCTTTTACACATTTACTCGAATTGTTATGCTGATAATACAATTTGTAAGGAAAAATGCATTAAATAGCGAAGTATTTCTGGGGAAACTTTTTCAAAAGAAAACATACACACTGCATGTCTCTTTGCTGAACTGCGGCGGTCTCGGTGAATCAGCAGCATCCACAACTGAACGGAACAAAAAGTGTTGAACTTGAAAATTGTTTATGCGCGAGTGCACTTGCTAATTGAAGGCAGATTGTATAAAATTAATTTAAAAAGCCGTTTTAGGGGGGCGTGGCAGAGTCTTAACTTTGATAAAGAATATCTCTTTGGTTTTGAGACTTTAGTCTTTGCAACTACAGGGATCTTATCTATGCACAATCTGCTTGTAACACTCCAAAGAGAAAGGAAAACTTGAAATCGCATCATATGACCTCTTTAAGTGAACCTGAACAGTTGGGAGAAATCACGGATGTGTCTAAATATTTGATCTGTGCGTCAGGTCTTAAAGCAACAGCAGCATAAACCTGCTGCTGCCGACTGCGTCATAAATGTTAATCAAACAACAAAAGAAAAAGAGAAAATCACTCACTGCTCTTGACTGAATCACTTTAGTAACTTTAATAAGAATCATTTATATTTAATGCATGCAGTGAAGAATGCTGTGTAGTGTTTTATTTTTACATTTACTACTTCATTAAATGTATGTAGTAGGCTATTTCTGTTGTAGCCTATACTAGCTATATAGACCTATCTAAAAAACTTTTGATTAATATATTTATTTATCCTTTTGCTCGTAATTAATAATTAGACTTGCTACTTGCCTTCAATAAGCTTGAGAGCATTTTACTTACATTAGTTTAGTATTAGTTTTTGCTGTTGTATTGAAATATTTTTTAAATATGGTGGCAGTTTCTACTTTTATATAAAAAGAATGTTTCTAACAAATTTGTGGCATCTTTGCGGTCAAAAACAGTGGCATCTTTGTGGTCAAAACTGTTTTTCCTTAGTGAAAAGTCCTTAGTGTTTAGCCCTGAACAGAGCATGTGAGCGAAGCGGAGCGGTGTGATGCTCCGCTACGTTTTCCGCTCTATGGACGTGCGCTCTAACCGCCCAAGCAAGCGCTCCGTTAATATTCCGCTCACGCTCACCGTAAACCAATTCCCGCTCAGATCCCGCTCCGTTCTGTAAAAAATTTGCGTGCATTATATTAGATTATAAATTACTGCTGCCTATATCTAGCCTACATTCTGAAGGACTACCTATTGTTTCGGGTCAGTTTTTTTATTTTTTATAATATTTTAATTGGCCTAAGTGGTGTAGGCTAATATCTTATGTAGGCTACTCTGTAGTTCTGTATTTAGGCCTATATACAGCTGTGTGTTAGCTTAGGTCTACAGTTTAACTGAGATTATTTAATAACTACGGAGCTCCGAATATAATTCGAATTAACAATTCGTTTCTACGACGTCAGCAGGTTTTATTATTTTTTTAATTAATTTATTATTATTTATTAATTTTAAGCAATAATGATTTTAATAAGTAATTACGAAATATAATAATTCGTTCCACGATTTAGGCCTACTATAGGGAATGAACGAATTAACGAACGAATGAATTCGTGGCAGCTAAGCCTAAACAAGAGAATGAATACTTAATTCGTGGCCATAATTTAGACTAAACTAAAAAATTAATTCTTAATTCGTGGCCATAATTTAGTCCTAGCATAAAAGAGAACTAGCCTATTCTAAATTCGTGGCTGTGATTTTGTCTGCATGTCATGATCGGGGCTCCGTACAACCGAATATAACCTTAGCCTACCTGTTTATTCATTTATTATGGTATGTAACTAGCTCACCTTTTGCTGCACCATGTTTGCGTAGTACATCTTCGTGCTTTCTGTAATCAATATGAATCTGTACTAACTTTAACAGTCTCCCCGCACTCCCTCTCAGTTTCTTCTCCCTGCTCATTCTTAACTTTGATTTTTACTTTACATTTATGTATAAGGCTTGCAACTTCGTTGAAACAATATCTGGACTCCATAACTGCTCTACTATTCTCGATCTCTACAGATTCTCGATCTCGAACAAGCAAATCACCAAACGGCATTCTGGGTTGAGCGAGTGGCACTGAGCGTATTGAGCGAGCGGAGCGGAATCTTCAGAAAGGCGCTCTGCGCTCTTAAGGAAATATTACCACTCCGCTCCCCGCTCCGCTCACATGCTCTGGCCCTGAAGCCCATGTCCACAGTGAAAAATATTTCTTTTATTTATATACTAATTATTACTATAGTAAATAAATATAAATATATGCAGGTGTGGCTCATCTATATAGGTGTCACGAAATCCGGTCCGTGGACTTCCATCCGATCGCCACCAGAGGTCACTCGTCCATCATATTGACTCTCTCACTACACTGACTGTTGCACGTCACCACGAACTACATTTCCCATGCACCATTTCACTAATCACACTCTCACCTGAGACCAATCACACACACTACATAACACCCACTCAGTTCCTGCTCCGATCGCCCAGTATTGTTTAGCGTATATCTCTGTTTAGCTAATAGCTACCTTACGGAGCCTGCTTAGTTTTCCTAGCCTTATCTTAGTCTTGCCTTGTCTGTTTTCTCGTGTTCTGATCTTTGCCTGTGTACCTGGATTTATCCCTCTAGTCTCGCCCTATTGGATTATGTTCTCGGACTCGATTGCTTAAAGACTTGGACTCGATTTAGGTGGACTCTAACCCAACACTACAATTTGTACAAGAAACAAAGATTACCCTATGGATTACCCTATTTATTTTTATTTTACTATTATTATTTTTTTTATCATAATTTTTAATAGCTAACAACATGTCCCCCCGTAATGGCTTTTTTGATTTCTCCCAATGTCACAGACTAAGTATACCTACACCTGTCATTCATTTGATACCTTACACACTCTGAGGAAGGCTGAAGGCCAAAATGCATAAGTGTGCAGTATTTTAGTCACTTTTAATGTTTCAATTGTGATAGTCATAATGTGAATAAAGGTATTTTAACTTTTTTGGACAAGAAGAAGTGCCTTGATTCCTTTCTTATGATAGTTGCTTCAAACCCAACCAAAGAGCACCTTCTGGGATTACTTAGGTCCTTCCAGGAAGTAGTGCTTCAAGATGTTCCCTACAATGTACTGTATTCCTTTAAAAAGTAAGCAGACATATTTTATCCATTTGTATTTGAAAACATAACATTACATTTCTGTCATGACAACTCTCTGAAGGATTGGCATGGTAATGTACATGACAATATTAATGTATTTGGTCTTGGTGGAATAGATCTGCTACGCTGCTGCTGTGGTAGAGCAAGTACAGAGACTTGCTACTGCCAATACATCCACAACATGCTGCTGTGACCATGTAAGAAATGTTGCTGCTGCAAATATAACATACATGAAATAACCCCCATATAGCATACATGAATCACCTCGTAGCAGATCTATACAGGTGGAGCTGGGGAAGGTGGAGGGTTTCTGAAGCAAGCTGCAACTGCTACAGCAAGCACTAGTCATATATTTGAATGTTGAGCAGCGAGCTCATTGGCTGCCGATACAGGAGAGAACCAATCAGCTGTGCCATGTGATAATGATGTCATTAGGTCAGATTGAGTTAAACCTATCGGACTGCACCATCTAGAGTTTCATGCCAGAACTCTGTATTTATTAAGAATTCCCTTTTCACTATGTAAAACACTTTTGAGTTTAGTGTAAGAAAAGCCTAAATTGTTTGAATGTACAGGTATTGTCATGGCAATCGAGTACCTTACAACTGAAATCTAAAACCGAAAGTATTTCTGTCAGGTGTCTCTGTGTTTCAGTTTGGTCATGTGCACAAGTAGAATACTTTCTGTTTCTGTTTATTCTCAGTGACAGTGACCTGATGAGACCTGAAGATCTGAAAATCAGCCACGATTTTGACAGTAAGATTATAATTATAATTATATATAAATATATACACATATATAATTATATACCAACATTTATACACATAGGTGAGGCAGTGGACAAATGTGAGTGCGGACAAATGTGTGTGTTTCATGTGGTACTGTTGTTGGAAGAGATCAAAATTAATGGAAGTACAAAGATCACAGCACAAAATATGTGTGTTTGTTATGTATATCTGCTAAACAAATCTGTTTGATAGGCTGGGAACGACTGAACTAATTAGTGAAGTTAGAGATGTAACTATAATTGTTTGATGTTCTATCATTGCTTGAACCTGCACATGCTATTAAAACACTTTCAGTTTTATGTTCTTTTTTTACTCAGTTCTGTACGAGGACAAGATGACAGATGAATGCATCACAATAGAGTCGGACCTCAGTGAGTTAGATGAGGACATGGAAGAACTGTCAGCACCTGAGTTTACGTGTCACTGTTGCTATGATGTCCTTGTAGATCCTACTACACTTAACTGTGGCCATAGTTTCTGTCGCCATTGTCTGGCAGAATGGTTACATTCCTCTCGACGGAACGAGTGTCCAGAATGCAGAGAGAGATGGCAGGGCTTTCCCAGAATCAACATCCTCCTTCGGTGAGAGAACCATTGCTATCTATGTATAGACTGTTTCAACGGCAACAACATAAACAAACGTTACTGCGCATGCGTGCTTTTGTGGCCCTAACTTAACCTCCGGTAGACTTCCAAATAGAATCAATGACAACAGCTAAGTAGTCCCTTTAGAGTAGATTATTTTTGATAACAAGCAAAATATGTTTGCTGCGTAAATCGGAGGGACTTACTGAAAATGCTAATTAATTCTCTGCCAGCAGGAGGTGCTTTAAAGCGGGAGAAACAGAGGTTTCCCCGGTAAAGGGCTGTACACAAATCAGCACTGAGCTGTGAGCTCACAAACGCTGCTTTATCAGGCATATAACATGCAAGATGAACTGCGTTTGTAGCCGGTGCCATAGCCAGACTGATAAACAAACATTGACCGGAAGTTAACTTCGGGCCAGGCGCGTGCGCCCGATGAAACCGTCTATATACACACACATAGCTGATTTTTTACAAGAAAATTAGCCAATTCTGATACCGACTGCCAAATTTTTTTTGTTTTTTTATTTTGTTTTAAGCAACAAACAAGAAAGAATGAAAATATGAGTATATGCTCTATTACAGGCAGAACTATCTGCAGTCATTGAAAATTACAGGCAACCACTGCATTTTAATCACAATCCAAACAAAGATGTTCCCCTCGGAGATACATTCATGTAAACTCCACCTCAATTCAATATTCAGGATTTTCTTCCAATATTGTGTGCATGGTGAGCATTAAAGGGGTCCTATTATGCTTTTTCACTTTTTCAACTTTAGTTAGTCTGTAATGTTGCTGTTTGAGCATAAAAAAGATCTTCAAAGTTACAAAGCTCAAAGTCCACTTCAAAAGGAGATATTTTATTTAACAGAAATCACTTTTCAAAAACTACAACAAACGACTCGTTTGGACTACAACGCATATTTTCCGGGATTTGAGATACCACAAATATCGACGAATGGGACGAGACCTGGTCGAGCTGCACTAGAGAAGACAACGAGTGTTATAACTATGTCTGAGGCACGCTAGCTTTCCCAAGACAGACGAACTGACAGACGCAATATTTACACTGAAGCTCGCAGGCGGCTATGGTAAGGGGTTAAATCGCGCTCAATTGATTTGATTTTGACGCAATATTTACACTGAAGCTAGCAGGCGGCTATGCTAAGGGGCATGACATTTCCCGACCAGGCGCCGAGTGGTGCCAATCACAACACACACTGGCCTTGCTAACCAATCACAGCACATTTCGTATTTCAGAAGGCGGGCTTTCATTTGATACAGGAACTATTCGAGCCGTTCATGCCAGACTGGAGAGGGAGGTGTTGTAATAATGTAAAATATGTGAAAAATAATGTGTTTTTCGAACAACCTAGTATGAGAGCCTGTTCTAGTACACCCCCAAAACAAAATCAAGACTTTGTAAAAGAGCATAATAGGACCCCTTTAAGCTTGCTCTGCCTGCTACATTATTTTCTCCTCTTTGCGTCCATCTTCAGCATCTCTGGCCTTTTACAGACTTCGTGATATTTCAACACAAATGACATTCTGGAAAATGAATGCAATGCAGTCCAGGGATCAACCGAAATAAAGCAAAAACCAGTCGGTTCCGATTTATGGCCGGTACTTACTGGAGTATTTTTTATTTTTTTTTACTGAAGTAAAACAAATATTAAATACATAAAAATAAAGCATAATAACAATAAAGCATAAATTGATGCGTATTTATTTAATCAAAGATCACACCTGATCACACCTGAGACCTTTGTGCCTACATTTTTCCATGAAGGACCAATTAAGGGCTGCTATACGAAGGATGCTGTCCTAAATTCAGATTTGATGGGTGTTAAATATTTTTGGTCACATTACCGCAAAAATTTCTCCAGTCTGACGAACCCAATGACTATTTACAATCGTTGGACAGACCAAAGAAGATTTTTTCTTTTTTTCCCACTTTAGTTCCTGCACCATCAGAGAGAATCACGCACGCAGAGTGGGAAGCAGACGGGAATATGTGAGATCCTGTAAGCAGCTGTTAACAGTGGCCAGAGACACTGAAGACAGATGCAAAGAGGAGAAAATACTGTAGCAGGCAGTCAGAGGTCACTGTTCACAATGAGCGAAATATAAATATTAAATTGGGGGTGGGGGTTTACATTAATTTATCTGAAACTGGGGAACTGACTGTCTTCAGAAGTTTCGATTGCATTTTCTTTTCCTCTTACCTCCGTGTAAAGTAGTGTTTATTAGTGCAGTGCATCTTTGTGTATAGCAGTAACCAAGGAAACACTATACCGCTGGTGTTTCATAAGCACCACCTGCTGTCAGAGAGTGAATTTGCATTCTCATTTAGCCCATCTGCTGTTTTAGTTTCATGTAGCATAACTTCACACATCTGAAGTCAGACCATTTTGTTTTTGCTTTAAATCTTGAAATTATACAATCTTAATTCAAAATCAAAAACTGCTCATTCTAAATGTATGTACCAAGGAAACACTATACCGCTGGTGTTTCATAAGCACCACCTGCTGTCAGAGAGTGAATTTGCATTCTCATTTAGCCCATCTGCTGTTTTAGTTTCATGTAGCATAACTTCACACATCTGAAGTCAGACCATTTTGTTTTTGCTTTAAATCTTGAAATTATACAATCTAATTCAAAATCAAAAACTGCTCATTCTAAATGTATGTATTATGATTCATTCTATATGTATGCATTATGATTCATTCTATATGTATGCATCTATGTTTGGATCATGATTAAAATTCAGTGGTTGCTTTTCATTTCAAATGTCTACAGAAATTTTAGTTTAAAGCCAGTTTGCCTGTCATAGAGCAAATAAACAACAAATAAATAAATTCGGAATGGGCCAGTTTGCTTGTAAAAAATCATTATTATATGTGTGTGTCAGTTTATGTATTTATGTATGTAATATAATGTGTATTTCCATCGCAGGTTTGGTCTTAAATTTCATATAAGTTGGTGTTAAAAAGGTATTAAAAATTCTTACATTTAACTTGTTTCTATCTGTAGACACCCTGATCTAATCTCATAGCATCATAGCATAATTTCATAATCTCACTGTCTCACATTGCATGAAAAATGCTACAAGAGTAGTATTCAAATATAGCATTTTGAATATTGAAACATAAAATGTTTTATTATTTATCTATGTATTTTTAAGAAAGAAAAAAAAAAGTAAGAATAAGTAAATGTTAAGAGTAATTGAACCAACCGGGCAGTCAACCAGGTTGTGTTGTCCATCTGCCCCAACAAATGATAGCCCCTGAGATCTGGGAGAAAATGTTTCAATACTAGAAACATAGTCCTCATCTTCAGGCAGTTGATGTGCCAAGAGAGATGAAGGCCATCCCAGCGACCAAAGCCTGTGGCACGTGACCCTTTTCAGAGGAGCCAGGGTGAAACCCCTGGCTCTTGAGCCACCACTGAATAGGCCTCGTGCAGCAAGCCCAACGGTATTACGCTGGCAGCTGCAGCCATAAGACCCAACAGTATCTGGTATTGAAGGTCAGAAACCTCCTGACCTAGCCTCAGACTGTCTACCATGGCGAGAATGAAATCCACCCAGGAAGGGGACAACTGTTCCCACATTGTGGTCGAATCCCAAATCACCCAGAGTAACATAGTTCTCTGACTAGGAGACAGAACACTCTTGTGATTTAACCTCAGTCCAGAAGGGACAGAGGGCGACATCTCCATGTCAAATTGCCATCTCCTCTGACTGAGCTAAAATAACCTAGTCATCAATGTAATTTAGTAAATGGATGCCCTGAAGTCACAAGGGATCCAGAGCTGCATCCATGCCCTTGGTGAAGTTTTGAGGAGACAAAACTAGGCCGAAGGGAAGAACCTGACATTGGTAAGCTCCCCCGCCCCGAAAAGCGAACCTCAGGAACTTCCTGTGGATGGGTAATAATTCTACATTAGATTTACATTTAATCATTTAACAGATGCTTTGGTCCAAAGCGACTTACAAAAGATGATAATGATAATACAAACAAAGCAGTAAAATGACAACAAGTAAGTGCTGTGATAATTCCTAGTTAATCTAACACAGTATACGTAGCAATGGAATAGAAAGTGCTAATATTAATGGGTCAAGTGTTGACCAAGAAGATGCATCTTTAGCTGTCTCCCCCGACCCGAAAAGCGAACCTCAGGAAGTTCCTGTGGATGGGTAATAATTCTACATTAGATTTACATTTAATCATTTAACAGATGCTTTGGTCCAAAGCGACTTACAAAAGATGATAATACAAACAAAGCAGTAAAATGACAACAAGTAAGTGCTGTGACAATTCCTAGTTAATCTAACACAGTATACGTAGCAATGGAATAGAAAGTGCTAATATTAATGGGTCAAGTGTTGACCAAGAAGATGCATCTTTAGCTGTTTCTTGACCATGGCTACTACATACTCAGCTGCTTGGATTGAGTTAGGCTGGTCATTCCACCAGCAGGGAACAGTCCAGGTAAAGGTCTGTGAAAGGTATTTAATGCTTCTTTAAGATGGCACCACAGTGTGACTTTCACTGCAGAATGCAAGCTTCTGGAAGGCACACAAGTCTGAAGTAATGAGTTCAGGTATAGGGGTGCAGAACCAGTGGTTGTTCTGTAGGCAAACATTTGTTCCTTGAATTTGATGTGAGCGGCTAATGGCAACCAGTGCAAAGTGATGAAGAGAGGTGTGACGTGCGCTCTCTTTAGCTTGTTGAAGACCACTCTCACTGCTGCATTCTGGACCAGGTGCAAAGATTTGATAGTACATGCTGGAAACCCTGACAAAAGAGCATTACAATAGTCCAGCCTGGATAGAACAAGAGCTTGGACAATGAGTTGTGTAGCATTCGCTGACAGGAAGGGCCTGATCTTCCTAATGTTGTATAAGACATCTGCAGGAATAGGCAGTTTTAGTAATGTGGTCTGTGAAGTTTAACTGATCATCCATGAGAACTCCCAAGGTTCCAGGCTGTCCTGGAAAGAGTTATGGTTGATGCGCCTAGCTGAATGGAGAAGTTGTGGTGAAGTTTTGGGTTGGACAAAACCACAAGCACTTCTGTCTTGGTAAGATTGAGTTGAAGGTGATGGTCCTTCATCCAGAAAGAAATGTCTGTCATGCAGGCTAAGATATGAGCAGCTACCTTTGGATCATCCAGCTGGAATGAGCGGTAGAGTTGTGTGTATCAACATAGCTGTAATAGGAAAAGGCATGCTTCTGAATTACAGATCCTAGTGACGACATGTAGATAGAAAAGAGAAGTGGTCTAAGCACTGAGCCCTTAGGCACCCCTGTACCTAGATGTTGCGGCTTAAGACACCTTACCCCTCCAAGTCACCATGAAGATCATACCTAGAGGTAAGACTCGAACCACTGGAGTGAGTTCTTGCAACCCTCATTGTCATGAGAGTTGACAGAAGGATATGGTGGTGTCAAAAGCAGAAGACTGATCGAGCAAGACAAGTACTGATAATTTGGAAGCTGCTCTCACCAGTCTCAGAGCTTCAACAACAGAGAGCAGGGCAGTCTCGGTTGAGTGGCCACTTTTGAAGCAGGTTGTTCTGTGCAAGAAATGCAGAGACTTGGTTGAACACTACTTGCTCAAGTGTTTTTGCAATGAATGGAAGAAGGGATACTGGTCTGTAGTTCTCCAAAAGTGCTGGGTTTAGCAGTTTCTTAAGCAGTGAGGTTATCTGGGCCTGCTTAAATACTGTAGGAAATGTACCATTGATGTTATGAGTGAGTGCCAGTACAACTATAAGAAAAATGGCTTAAAGGACACGAGTGGGGATAGAATGAAGGATGTTCTTCCAGCAGCTCCATCTGCAAGCCTGATGCTCTAAGTTGGTGCACCACCTCGGCGGACACATGACCCAAACCACAGGGAGCAGAAACAAACTCTCCTTCGTCATTGAGGAGGGCGAGGCAGGAACGGAGCTTCCCTAACTATTAATTGATTTAACCTCCAGTGTGCTATTTGTCTGCATTTGTTTCTGAACAGTTTGAAACTGTATCAGTTTGCAACTTTTCCAGCTTTTGAATGCATCCAGTGATTCTCAGAGTGATAGTGCCCAGTAAATGCATAATATTTTAAGGAATGTGAAACCATAGTCCATGGATATGTACTGTTTAATGCTAATTCAATGCATTATTTAATATGGCACGTGTGTGTCCTAGGGATGCAGTGGAGAAGACGTTTCCAGCTAAGATAAGCAGACGGAGGAGGGTTCTCCAGCGTAACCAGCGGTTCCATTATTTTCTCCAGATATTCCAACAGTATGGGCAGGTACTGAAGCAACAAATTCCTGTATCAGAAGGCCTACAGCAAGCTATACTAAACAGCTTTTGTTCTGGAGTCATGATGGCATTGATCTGCATGGGGGTGAGATGCGCTTTCTCATATACATACTCAAAGATTGAAGAGTTCTTGATGGGGGTTCGGTTGTGCACAGGACATAACACCTTGTGAATGTTTCTAGGTTATATTGTTGCGATATCACTGGATCAGTGCTGATTCTAATTATGACATCTTGGTCCAGAAGCCAATCAACAGGTGGAAACCCCATGATGTCATTCTGTGGGTGGAGCATCTGGGTCCCTGGACCAATCAGTACAGAGAAATGTTCCACAGAGCACAAATTAATGGCAGGTGGGTACTATCCACACGGAAACACAATTCAAACATTATTACATTGTTTTTCATTTTAGTGTCATTTATGGCTTTATTAGTTATTTGAAATAAAATGTGTCCAACATGTTTTAATGGGGGAAAAAAACAGTATTATAGGGTTTACTGGCTTTAATTCATTATGTCAACAATGTTTCACACATTAAAATTACATAAAACATGTTTAAAGGGGTCCTATTATGCTTTTTTACATTTAAAACTTTTAGTGCGTAATGTTGCTGTTTGTACATGAAAAAAGATCTGCACAGTTACAAAACACAAAGCCCACTCCACAGGGAATTATTCTCTATATCAGTAAGTACTGTTTCTGAACTTGCTCAAACGCCTGATTGTGGTCTTGAGTTTTTATCTGGAAATGTACACATCACAATATACCTCATTTAAATAATTCCTGCATAAGGCATACACAAAAAATGAGAGGGGGAGAGGCCTGGTTTAGAGATGCTGTTTCACAGATCTAATATACTGATACACATGCAAGCTGTCTATTTTTTTGACATAACCTACTGCGTTTATGTAAATTTTGTGTGTTTTTGACATAACCTTATGTGTATTTGACAGTTGATGAGAAAGAGCTTCATATCGGTGGGCGTTTACTTCCGAGTCTACAATCCTCCACGCCTATTCAAACAGAGCGTTCTGATGAGGGGGGTTAAAAACAGGACAGAAAATAGCTTATTACTTCTCAATTATGATGTTTTTTTGATGTAAAAATCTTGATAACATTATAAGTGGACCTCAGAGAACAGTACAAAATAAAAAGCAAAGGCAGTTCATGACCCTTTTAATGACAGCTGAGATCCTACAGTGTGACATGAGGATCATGTTTGTGCTTGTACAGTCTGACAAACAACAATCGTAAAGGATTATTATAAATCGTACAGTGTGCCGGCTTTAGGTGGTTAGTGGTTTGACTCTCCTATTGTCAATATGAGATCAAGTCAAAGACTGCAGTGATGCAACTACAATACAGAAATAAATGTTGTGATGTTTTTATGGTTGTTGAAACAATGCTTGCCAAAATCAAAGCTAAAGGCAGTCCAACAAATTTTGAAATGTGAGACTTCAATCATAGATTGAAAACTAATGAAAACAAACCACTAAAAAGCAAAATAGGAATAAAATAATTTGAAACTATAATATGCTTCATGTATACACTTGTTACAATAGGTAATGTTTACTTATCACCATTGATATGTGTGTTTTTTTTTTTTTCAGTTTGTTGGCTCATCTCAGAGACGAAGAACTGTCTGCTGCTCCATTCAATGTTAAGAATCCATCACACAGACAGGTCATACTGGAGGAAATCCAGAAAATCAAAGAGCTCAAAGTCAAACTACCACAAACCCTCTGGGAGTACAAGGTGTGTCTTGTGTTTTTCTGGTAATTATCTGTTTTTCATTCAGCAAAGAGCTCAGTCAAATCAAGATTTTCAATGAGAATTCTCAAAAGTCACTAAAAGTCTGCATTGGTCTATTGCAAATAAATAGTTAACAGTTGTGCTATTTCTAGTCACTCATTAATTTTACCCACCTCTGTTTGTTTGCTAAACCTCAATTGAGTTCCCCAATCATCAACGATGTTTGACCTCAGGGGCCCTTGCCACTTGGCAAGTAATTTGGAACTCATGTGAGGACTTTATCTCCTTGTGCAAAAATTCCTATAGCCAAGTACCCCTGTTATACAGTTGGCTCTGATTTTCTTGAGCCTGGAGCAAATTCTCCTGCCTCAGTTGACCCATTGTGTGGAGTTTTTAATTTCCCCTTTGAGGGAACTTCAACATTATGTCAGAATGCTTATGTGACAGGAATGCTTCTGCATGACCTGTGTCTGAAGCATGTGTAAAATCACTCCAGTCTCGTTTGCAAAACTCTGGAGTTTATGAAGGATACTCCACTGCCAACATCCACGCTACATTAGGGGAGGTGACACACTTGATCTGTGTGTGGTCTATATAGAAGAGGAGCATGGAGAAACAGCTCTCAAGGGAGCTGGCTGTGTTGATTGTGAGTGTCTGCCAGGAAAAATCCCCCACCTGTCTGTCTTTGAGGAGGGAGGCCAGGCACATGCCCACGAGTGAGGCCCTGATGTTGGCTATATCCAGCACTGTGAAGTTGGATGTTAGCATCAAGGCAAGAAAGTTCAAGGATTCGCCATCTTTCTCCCCTGCTTACGAGGAGCTTGTGGAGCTTGTGACCCATGCTGTAGCCAAATTAAACATCAATTGACCAGCTGAGAAGAAAGAGCATCACAAGAGCAAGTTAGATGAGCACTTCCTGTCTAGTAAATCACATCCTCTGTGTCGAAGCCTACCTTTCTTTCTGGATCTCCATACAGAGGTGTCAAGATCCTAGACTAATCCTTTCTCCACCCATATCATTTGTCCTTCACTTTAAAATTATTCCTTGATTGTGGAATAAATGAACTGGGGTATGGGGCAATCCCCAGCTATCTCTCACCTGAGTTAGCATGGTCCCTAAAGGCTCCGATGCTACCAACCAAGCCATGAAGAGTTGACATCCTTGGTGGGTAAAGCTTATGCAACCGCAGGTCTTGCTGGGGTGTCTGCATACGGTGGCATTGTTGACCTGCTGTTGACCTACCAGGCTGACCTGCTGAAGGACATGCATGAAGGTTGGAGGGTGGGCAAGAGCTGTGCTGGGCCAGAGATTTGTCTCTCCAGGCATCTCTGGGTGAACCTTTCAGGAATAAAAGAGAGGGAAAAGTTCTTCTCCTGGGTTTTTGGCGACACAGTCAATACTGTCGTCGATAGGTTCTAGGATGAATCAGATGCCCAATTATTTTTCAGTGCTGCAGTTCCATCAGGATCGCTTTTCCACAGAATTAACCTGTGTTCAATTAAAAGATGCTTTTATTCAAAGTGACTTACAAATGAGGAATACAACAAGTGATTCATCATAAATAAGCAAATAATAAACAAGAAGGTAACGTCCATCATCTGTCACAGGACTATGTTTCGCCATTGAGATTGGATTCATTTCACACGTGCTTCAGATGCAGGTCAAGTGTTCACATACTGTCAACATTCTGACACAGTGTCTAGTTCATGGAACCAGGGTTACAGTCGTAACCTAGAAATTTTACTGTTAGAAATGCCCTCCTCTCAATTTTCTCTTACGAGGTGCACTGCACTACAAGGCTTGTGTCCATACAATAATTCAATTCACGAGTTGGCACTTACATATAATCAGATTGTGCAAATAGTAAGCATATTTGAAAGTGGAAGTGACGTGACATGTGGCCAAGTATGGTGACCCATACTTGGAATTAGTGCTCTGCATTTAACCCATCCAAAGTGCACACACACACAGTGAACACACACCCGGAGCAGTGGGCAGCCATTTATGCTGTGGCGCCCGGGGAGCAGTTGGGGGTTCGTTGCCTTGCTCAAGGGCACCTCAGTCGTGGTATTGAAGGTGGGAGAGAGCACTGTACATTCACTCCCCCTTTGAGTTACGAGTCCGACTCTCTAACCATTAGGCCACGACTGCCCCCATTTGGTGTGCTGTCCTGAGGGAGGGCTCCGAGCTCGGAATATAGCCCAAACCCAGAGAACTCCCCCGAAGAAGCAAATGAGCATGAGACAGCAGCCAGAGAATAAATTTGTCTATTAACCCCACAAAATTGCATTCCACGAAGAGAAATGGGTTGGAATTTGCGAGGAGGAGGCAGGGCAACCAGGACAGCCCATGCAGTGTTCGACGGGAGCTTGCGACTTGCAGCATTGGATGGGTGAGCCCTGCCGATGAATAAGGAGCACGATGCGAAACATCAGATGGAGGACTCTCACTGCTTCCAATGGGACGGGAGAGCCCTACCTGGATTTGGTCTGCTTGATTGAGTTGGAAGACCCGCGCAGCATCCAATGGGAACAGGAAATCTTGGATGGGTAGGCCCCGCCTGTAAACAGTTGGGAGAGCTCGACCAGCATTTTGGAGTGGCAGGGAAGATTTAGCTAAAATTGGCCCTGTCGCTGCCTCCAAACGGGGAGCCCACACTGCAGCATGAACAGGGGCACCTTGTAAATAAAAATGGGCTAAACTGGTGTTGGTTTAAAACTCTGCAAAACAGCAGTCTATAAAGTCAACATAAAATGGATTGTTTAAAATACTACTCATCGTAATGCATTAGTGTGTTGTTACCTTAAACAAGGTGTGAATAAAAATGGGCGAACTCTCACTGCATTCGAACAAGGGGCTCAACCAGCGCTTCACGGGGTGGGGAATGAGTGTAGCCCATGAACAGGGAGCCTCCAAAGCATTTGAACGGGGGAGCCCGTGGTCGTTGTTATTATTATTGGTCAGACTTTACAAGTATAGTATGAAATTAAAAGTACAA